ACGTGGGAGTCTCCACATGGAGAGTACTAAAACGAAATAGACAACATCGACCGTAAACAGAAGGTTTTGCCTAACCGATAACGCCGTTGCCCCAAAATTCTACACTAGATCAGACCACCGTCTCCTTGGTGCAAGATTCTATTTCTCGCGGAAAGGAGAAAAAGCAGCTAAATTCCAAAACCGAAGTCCCAAAACCACCGTAAACTGGGATTTACTCAATTCATTAGTCGGCTGTTCGAAAGATGACGTTGTCGATAACACCGACGAGGGATACGATCGGCTCATTCAACAACTTCACGTTAGCACTTTGAAAGCGGAGAATTCGAAAGTCACCAAGAGACGTCTCATTCCAGAAACACTCGAACTGATACGCCAGCGTGGAATCGCACGAGATGCAGGCAGCCGCCAACTCACGTCCGAACTTGGGAAACAATTCAGACAGGCGATAAAACAAAATCTTAAAGAGAGAAGAGCGACAATAACGGTCGAAGATGCAGAGGCTGGGAAAAGCATTCGCAAAGCTCACCGAAGCTTCGGCAATTACAAGACCAAGATAATTGCACTCCGACGCCGACGGAACAGTTACACCGTCCAGAAAGGCAATCGAGAAAATCATTCACGAATACTACTCGGATCTTTTTGATAGCCACGTCCACCTTCCATCATATGAAATAAAGGAGGATTGATATGTTGCACCACCGGTTCTCCCTTCCGAAATCCAACATGCAATTTCATCGGTGAAAAATCGAACAGCACCAGGTCTGGATAGGGTAAGATCAGAACAACGCATTACCTCCTGGAAAGGACAATAGCGCGTTCGTTCGCCACCGCAGACACCTGCGGTCCCGAGTTTTGCAAATATTTCAGCATCATTGAAGTTATATTTACTTGATATTTTTTCGCAAAACGTTTCTCTTGTTTCTAACGCAAATCACTCTTGTTCTGGCTTAAACTTCAACAAACAAGTTATTCAGAAGATACAACTGCAGTCGCTCGTTGACTGCACACTGTAGCAATCAATCACATTTACCCCATTCCCTTAGAAGTTTACAGCAGCTAGAGAAGCGCAAACTAATACTAGGAATCGTTCCGTCTTGGAGGAGACCTAGTAGCAAGATAGGAAGCTTCTTTTCCATTCACAAGGGCAGGTCTGGATAGGGTAAGATCAGAACACCTGAAGAACCTTCCGCCAGTCCTCGTAAACTGGCTCGGCTTTTCGCACGTTACTTGTCTGAATGCAAGATCCCTACTTAGTGGAAGACCAGCAAGACCGTGTTAATGTTCAAGAAGGGTGACCTACACGATATCGGCCCAATCTACTTACTGTCTGTCGTCTAAAAACTTTTCACTCAAGTCATCCTAAACAGGATTGACAGAACACTGGACGAAGGACAGCCATGTGAGCAAGCAGGGTTTCGAAAAGGATTTAGTACGATGGACCACATCCACACGATAGCAAGGCTTATTGAAGTATCACGAGAGTACGAAAGACCGCTCTGTCTCACTTTCATCGATTTACAGAAGGCCTTCGATTCAATTGAGATAGAAGCAGTCATGGAAACCCTTGATAGTCAAGGAGTCGCTACTACATAAAGATTCTTCGTGAGCGGTACAAAAATTCCACAACCAAGCTATCACCATTCTACAACGATATTAACATTGATGTCAAAAGAGGAGTTAGGCAAGGCGATACCATCTCGCTAAGATTATTTACCGCCACCATTCACAACGTCATGCGAACACTGGAATGGGATAATATGAGAGTGGAAATCGATGGTCGGCAGTTACATCATCTTCGCTTTGCTGACAAAATCGCCCTTATAACACCAAACATTAGCCAAGCGGAACGTATGCTTGACGACTTTGATAAAGCCTGTGGAAAGACTGGTCTTCCACTAAATCTCACAAAAACAATGTTCATGAAGAACGGATTGGTTTCGTATGCCTCATTTACCCTCAACGGAACAAATGTCTTCGAATGCTCCAGCTATATCTATCTAGGTCGGCAAATCAATGTGATGAACGACCTAGCTCCACAGCTAAGCAGAAGGAGACGAGCGGCTTGGAGAGCTTCTAAGAGCATCGAGGATGTAACAAAGAAAACAAAGAACACCCGACTTCGTGCCCACCTTTTCGACTCAACGGTACTTCCTGCCCTAACGTATGCGTCAGAAACCTGGTCGCTGCGGGAGCAGGATGAAAGATCACTCAGCGTTATCGAACGCGCAGTCGAACGGAGTATACCGTTTGACATAGGTAAAAGATAGGATCCGAAGCTCCGACTTGCGTCAACGATCAAAAATCAAAGATGCCGTTCTGTACGCCAAACAGTCGAAGATAAGGTGGGCCAGACACGTAATATGCATGTATGACAACCGATGGACAAGAGCCGTTACTGACTGGATTCCTCGGGATGTCAAACGTACTGCAGGAACACCACCGAGGCCATGGTTAGAGTTCTTCACGAAAAGTCTGGAAGAAAAATATGATGCTCGAGTCCCTAGAGCGAGCAGAACCTACTGGGCTACTCTTGCACGCGACAGGGAAAAATGGAAGATTTACTGGCGCCCGCTCCGGTCACTCGACGATCAACGGGACTACAGGTGATACAGGTGATATATGATATGTATATATATGTGTGCACATATGGATTGTGTAGATTGAACGTTGTAATATAAGTGTAGGACAGAAAAGTAACAAGATTTTGTGACTGTTTCAAAAAACAAATTGCGTTGAGGAATGAGGCACACTCTGTGACTCTCTCTCACACTCACCGAGCCATTCTGACGAGATCTGCTCGATGATTTATACCCTTATCCTAGGAAAAGCTGTCGCTAAGGGGCGAAACTCAGTCTTCAAACAGAGGGATTAGCCTGCCTTTTCGCTTGCTATACAGTCTATGGCGCATACTCTTCTCAACAGCAGCAGTCTCTCGCCGAAAAATATGACCGTTCAAAAGACGATTTTTTTGTAAACTATCAAGTGCAGACAATAAGTTTTCACGAGCCACGCTTGGCGCAGCATCAGTGTTTAAAATGCTTTCGATAGATGCGCCGTTTTCTTTCTCAGCAATCGCGAGGTTGTTACACAGCACACGTTTTATTTCCATACAAAAACACGTACAACGCAACAGTAGCTGACGTTTCGGCAGTATCGCCTTCTTCAAAGCCTTGAAGGGTATATTGATATGCCCTACAATGGCTTATAACCCTAAGATTAATAGCAGGGAGGAATGCCCAGAGATCACACGAGATCTCGCCCCGTACCTTCGCATGAACGTTTGATGTGTGGTGGTGCAGTCATCGACCATATGCGACTCTAAACGGCGGTTCTTCCTCAGTGGAAGACACGTACAAAACGGTGTTTTTCGAGAAGCTGTTGATCGTGTAACTACCACACAGATTTCCATCTTTCCGTATGTGTTATTGAAGCGTTTGGCATAGTAAATTGCATATCAGCATATCCTCTCAGGTGCTGAAAAAGGCGAAAGTGCCGAAACGTCAGCTAATGTTGCGTTGTATTAAGCATGTATTGTATGGAATTAAGACGTTGAAAACAACGCATTTACAACTCAATGCCGAGGTTGATAGAAAGTCGGTCTTGCGAGCTATCGATAGAATACATAAAAGTGCAGCAAAAAATCTCTGTAAACCATTGAACAGACAGGTAGCCCATTTTGGCACACGTGGTCCGATATGAATTAATGGATAAAGATTTTCTTGAGGACTTTCGCACGTTACACCGACAAATTTTGTGCGAAAAGCTGGTTGTGAGCGTATAAAAAAGTTAAAGAATACAGGAAAAAATACAACACAAGCCAGAAAAGAAGAAAGTGGCTAGCACCGATCTCATGAAATTCGCCTTAATATTAATATGGGCATGGCATAAACGACGATTTTTTCTCTCAAGTTAGTGAAAATTACGCAAGAACAACATACGTTCATTCTGCATTCAACAACAGATGTGCTAGGAAGAACAGGTAGGGTTGAAATGAAGCTACGCACGTAGCCAAAGTGAAATTCATCACGACCGCTTTGAGAACTACAGCTGTCATGGACAATTTTGGGCTGCTACATCATCACTGACTGGGATCGGTTGAGTAATCACAGAGTTAAAAGTTTTGCGGGAAACCTTGACGTCCTAGAATAATCCTATTTGCGACGGGCTAAGAGATACTCTGATCCGCAACGGGTGATGAGCATGGGACAAAAAGTTGGCAAGGATAACTCGGGATTTCAAGGAAAACTAAACTGCCAGTATTTCAAATCACACTCTCCCGTGAAAAATTATAGTAGGCAGCAAATAAAAGGTTACCATAATGATTTCGACTACAGCCTCAGCTTAATTGGGTTGGTTCAATGCCGATTTATGCTTCCCAGATCAATCCTGCTGACGGGGTGATTGCCAATTGGCAGCGTTAGGTAGAAAACTAGCTGAGAGAAACGCAGACGAAGGGCCTCCGTGGTACTAATACGCAAACCCCCGGAAAGGGTAATCGTGGTTCAATCTGGTCCGAGGTCCAAGTTTTGCCAATACCTCAGCATCGTTGTGGTTAAACTGCCAGCATGCAATACGTTAATAAGTAGAAAAACCCACAGCAGATTCGTGAGCAGCAACCCTACACATGAGATCGATTGCCACTATGTCGGTTACCCGACGAAATGAAAAGTGAAAGAGAGTGGAAGAAGTGGTAGGAGCCGCAGGACATGTATCTAGGAGTCATCTAGGTATTTAAACAATCAAAAGCATGTAAAATGACGAAAACTGTATTTCCTCCGTAAGGGTAAAGGATCTCCGTGGTGCAATGTGATACGTGACCCTCCGGAAAGGGTGATCGTGGTTCGATCTGACCCGGGGTCCAAGTTTTGCGGATATCTCAGCATCGTTGTGAAAACTGGATTGTTTAGTTATAACAGACCAAGTGAAATGTCCATTTTACTGAATGTAAAGAATTCTCTTCAGCGCTAATTTTGTTGCACAACAAAGTACGATGCATGGAACTATCGAATACGAGAGAGAAAGGTAAGAGATGCTGCGGAAAAAAACGAGAAAAAAAGGATTTGCACCTTTGCCCTTTGATTCCTATATTCATCGTCGCTCATATGGTCATATTCCTTCCGTTGAGCTTTTTCGTGATTGACAAATCTGACGTGCATTCAATAAACGTTATTCAACACATCTAAAACACGTTAGAACTCACTGTTCTTCATCATCCCCAAGAAAAGCCATGTCGAAGTCAATGAGGTAATGCACATCTTCAGCACCGCAAACTCCTTCGCTGAGGTGGGCCTCGGTGGAATATGAGCCAGAAGCCGTTATGAGATCAGCAACGTAGTTTTCCTTAACGAATTCCACCTAAGCCCGCTTTGAAACATTCCAAACTGAGGTAGGTTCTGCACGAAGGCCAGTAGTTCAGTCAACTTTAAGTTGAAGAAAACGCTGGATTCATTTATAACAGCAGCCAGTGCAATGGACACGAAGTTAGCTACCACTTTATTTCTTGTGTAAGCAACTGTAAGTACAAATATTATAAAAATGTACCATACGAAATGGAAATGAGTAGCGAGCAGGTTCTATAACCTAAAAAAAATCAAATCTTATACGGAAATAGAACCAGTCTCTCATATAGGCCCTCCCACTTCCGGACAAACAGTTACGCAAGAACTTGAAAAATGTTAAATCGGACCTCTATAAACCATCCTGAAACACAAAGAGTGGGATCCTATCTCCCCACAAAAACAGTTTTGAAGGAATTATTGTAGTAGTCATTCCAACGGTTTACCGCCTCAACGTGCCTAGGTGTTCGTGGGTGTCGAGCTGCGATGCACAGTGGAGGAACCCATACCTCCAGCAGGGTCTCCCAAGCTGAGAAGGAGCCCGGCGTTTCCATCTGGAAGCAGAGCTAAGAGTAAACCAATACCGGGATCCACCACCGTCCTCGTATCAAATTAGCTGCATGGTGGCAAATTTCTCTCTGATCCACAAAGGCGGCGACTGCGTGTGGTGGTGACGAACTGGGACAGGCTAGGCTTAGCTAGGCTGACCTCGAAACTCTAGTGAATCACAGTAGCTAAACCAGCAAAACTCTGAAAAAATGTGAATCTTGCTGGAAGCGGCACAACCAATGAAGACGGAGCATTCAAGTATCCAACAATTGTAGAAGTTGCAGTTGGCCTAGTATAATTTAGCCAACGATATCTTTTGATATTTTGATTTTCGATCTTGGAAATCTCCACAAAATAAATCTATTCGTATTCACAAAAGCGATGCCACGAATGTTTATCTTTGTACTCGAAGTTGAGCGAACTCGTCCGTAACCCGAAGAATCCTGGACAAACTCCATAGTGCATCGATTTTGAGACTTGTGCAAACTAGTATAGTAGCATTTGGTGCGGAGGCTGCGCCTAATTATATGGCTTGGAAACTGCATAGAAGCGCGTTTGACATGAAAATAGAGCCAACGATAAGGATTTTTTACAAAATAGGCGGCGAGGAGGGGACCACCTCCAGCATATCGATTTTTGACATCGGAACAAAAACTAGGACGTAACGGACAACAAAGCCTACTAGTAACAGCTGTCCGGTAAGACGGATCTCTCACGCAAATCCAAGTAACATCCTTAGTTCTCTCACAGTAGAAAGAAACAAGAGAAATACCGAATCGAGCGTGGTCTCCTGCGCGAACTTATGTAACAACTGCGCGCTCTTCTCGGCATTATCAGAGGCCAGCGGATCGTACACGAGGCTAAAACGGAGCCTTAAGCGAAGGAAAAAATCCTGAACAGACGGCATGAAATGTAAGAGACTCACTTTTTGAAGAAAATTGCGAACGCGGTCGCATAGCGATCCTTCAGATGGTCTTTGTACTTGTCGAATAGCGAGAACACCGCGCAAAGATGTGCGATGCCACTGAAAATCGATGAAAGTACGCAGAAGGACGCAGTTGACAACGAAAAAAGTTCTCGTTCTTAAAAAAGAAGCCTCGAAAGTTCTAGCTCTTTTTTTTAAGGAACAACAAGACATAAGAAAAAAATCAAACTAACCGGAAAGGCCTTCGCGTATAAGCGTCGATGATCATCTTGTACCACTTCTCCCTGGTTTTCTCGGACAAGAAGCTGGTGAGATCATTCCAACGAGCCGCCAATTCCGCTTCCATGCCTGGAACAGGAGCTGTCCGTGCTTTTGACAGTGGAAGAGCAACGAGAGCAACCGAGAGCAGAACGGAATGCACGAGGGGCACATGACGAGTGGGTCGATAACGTGATTAGATGAGGAGGACAGCGAGCCAGCCATTGAGGAAACCCGCCTCTGTGGTTCATCCACCCGAAAGCGTCCGAAGCCGCCCGGACCGCGGAGATGACCAGCTCGTCGCTCGCACCGTCCATGCACAACCGCCACGGTGCACTGCCGGCGACACACCCACGCAGAGCATACACTCCAGGTCTTGCCGAAAAAAAGCGCACCGATGTCGAAGTAGACCGAGATGGCCGCGAGGAGGCTTTCGACGAGTATGCGGTTCATAGATGGATTAGGCTGCTCAAAACTGCTATCGTACTTTTCACAGCAGTTCAAATCCAATAGGTACTGCCTCACCTTAGAGCCGACCACAAATTTGAACTGCGTTAGTTATCACCGGTAACCCATCGCTTATCATCTGCATTGGAACAGGTATTAGTAGTTGTCGAATAGGTGGTTGCTGGGTGCAAACAGTCGAGATTCTACCAACATGAAGAGAACAGACCTGTGGTTCACTTTTCGTGGAAATTTGGCCCTGTACAACCAGGACAAGTTATAGAGAACAGATTGTCAAATTTATTCTTTTAAAGCTATCTATGATGTTACCGGGTTGTTTCGTTAGATCAAAGTTTGTTGTAGTGTTGACGAAGAACCTCTAAATTTGAGCAAAGCAATAGGCCCACGAATGCGTTTTCGAACGCAGAGTGCGTGGATAGCTCGAGGATCTTCGTATAGAAGCAACGAAAAAGAGATTGGACAACTGTTAGCACTTGACGCGATCACCTGAATGTGATGATTATGCCTTACTACCAAAAAGTGTTCGAGACGTTGCAGAAGAACAAATCTGATCGAGAAACTGAGCAGTCGTTCGTTAGTGGACAGCCGAAGTACCTCTACAAAGTGCCCTGCGCTTCCATTGCGCAATAGAAGCCGTCCATTTCGCGAGCTCATAGAAGTGGTTTCTGCAAGGCAACTGATGACGTTCAGAACAAGGACTGGACAGAGACATAGCTCCTAAACATGTCCTAAAGCCGAATTTGAACCAAAAGAAATCTGTGGTGACGCCGTGAAGAGCTGGACCAATGCGCCATTACATTCTGAGTTCATGCGAAACAACGGGAAAAATCGATAACGAGCATCAAAAATGCGGCCTATTTATTCAGTTTTCTTCAAGAAAAACCCACAGGCCTTCTGCCTGACTCGAGTTCACATTGTAGCTCACAGCGCTATAGCAGCTGTATGAACCGAGCCGAGGAAACCTATCCAGTCCTGCGTGCTCGTAGACTATCTAGACTGCATTCCACCAAACGATTTTCTTTGCACAACCCATCTTTCACATCTACTATGCAGATCCCAGCACCTCTTTTAGTCGATTCGTTCCCGTACACGAAGGTGTTCGAAGTTCTCGTTTGTGTGTTCAGCTGCTTCTTAAGGATTTTCCTTTCGCCATGAATATCGTTAAATGCTTGTCGAGTCGATTCTCCGTAGAGTCTTGCGATAGCCGGGTTATAGCGTACCGACGTGGATTGCGGAGAGTGAACATTAAGCAGACAAGTCTAGTACCAATTTCCAGACGCAGGAAGGATGAGAGGGTTGATCTGCCCTATAGTTACATCTGACGAGACATTCCTTGCTTACGGAGAAACGGATATGATACATGAATGAACTAACTTGTATCTCGTTAGCAAAAATGCTTGCGTTCAAACTGTTACTTAATATGTTGTTTTCAAGCAGCAACATTTCAGAGCTGTCTTTCAGGATCTAAATACTTTTTTCCCACCAATTAGTAGCTGTGCATGGTGATAAGGAGAAATTTGGGCTATTGGGATTTCTCTGTGGACATCCACATTTGTAATTTGAATTAGCATAACCAAATTCTAATCAATCACTTGCTAATCCTTGGATTCGGAAAGGTACTAGTATGTATTTGTATTTATTATTTATCTACATATATATACATAAATAACCACAATGATGCCGAGATATTTGCAGGACTGCGGACCGCAGGTGCCTGCAGTGAGGAACGAACGTTTTATTGTCCTTTCCGGGGAGTAACGCATTCACCACCACACTATGCTGGTCTTTCGTTTCGCCTGTCTCTCAGCTAGTTCTATCTACTAAATATGTATAAATATATACATATATAATCTTTGAGGATCGAAATAACTCCTTGAAAAGCAAAATACGCTAAGGTGTGAGCAATTGGGCCGGAGTGAATTGATATCGACCCATTTCTCCGTGGTTATCGACATTGCCGTAAACACGAGCTCCATTTTTTTTGTACTCAATCAACAGGTTGTCCAATGTGGACCGTGTGTGCAAGGCACCTGACTCGAAATGCTGTTCTCTGCACTTAAAAATCGTAAAAATTCTTCCGGGCGAGATTAATTAGTGCGTGATGGGCCACTGCTAAGGAGGAGAGCGGTCGTCAGAGACTGCTGCCGGTAAGAACGGAATGGAGTTGTCGGCGCTACACTTCGACGTTTAGCTTTGAAGCTTAGAGGCATCTTTTCGCTACGATAAAGTGGTGTCATTCGGGTTTGTTGTTTGTACAAGAACTAGGCGTTCATCAGCGTCTTTCCACAAAGTTTCTCTTGTTTCCAACTCATATTCTCAGAAAATTAAAGTGGCATTTTGAACATTACTCAAATCCCTCAGACTTTATTATCTACTCATTCTTACTTATTTACTTAAAAATTACTGTACCTTGTACTTATTTATCTATAAAATCCTCGATTCTTACAATTCACCTCTTTCTTAGCATTTACAATCATCCGTTATGTGTCATGCATATAAAAATTAACCTTGAAAAGTAATTAATCGCAATTTTATTTCAGTCACAATGATTAATTACGGCTACCATTTGGAATAGGAAGCTATAAGTAATACTCACTCGGATACTTGGACGGCCCGTCCTCACTGGTTGTGCGGGCTCCAGCATAATCTCCATTTTTTCGGAGTTCTGCTGGTTTATCCATAGTGGTTCCGTGGAATCCCGAGGTCAGCCAGGCTCCAGGTCGTTACCACCACAGGCCTTGTGGATCAGAGGGAAATTTGCCACCATGCGACTAGTTTGGTACCAGGACGGTGGTGGAGCCTGATATTGGTTTACTCCTAGCTGAAGTTCCTAATGGAAACGTCGGACTCCCTCTCAGCTTGGGAGGCCCTGCCTGGGGAATGAATCCTCCAAGTGTACATCGTAGCCCGACACCTGGGAACACCTCCCAGCCACGATGAGGCGGTAAACCGTTGGAAGGAGATATAAGTAATACCGACATATATTTCACACATGTTGTGAAACCAACTGCCAAATTGTAACAGCAACGTAGTAATGTGACGTACGAGCTTTTCCTCTTACAGTTCGAAATGTGCAGAAAAGTGGGACAACCCATAGCGGAACTTGGAAGGTACGTAGAAAACAAAAACACGGATAGTACTGACAAATTGCGCGGAGAAAACGAATTGTCCAGCGGAAAATACAATGAAATGCGTGGAGTCGTTTGCTAAAGGGGTAGCTGGACGCCATGATTTGATATCAGCTCGTAGCGAGCGCAGCGAAAATTAGCCATCAAATAAGCCACACGCAGATATAGACGTTGAAATTTAGGCAATCGGACATAAAAGTCACAAATCCGTTGTTGATTTAAAATCTACGGGCCTGTTATTACCGATGTTTATCGGTGGGTTAGTGGTCTTTGTTGCAACAATTGCCGCTAACGGTGAACATGAGGTTCACACTTCGAAAATTATATTCTGCCCACGCCTCGTAACAGTTTCAAGTCAAAAACCTGACATTTCATTTCTAAGCTTCGGATTAATTACTCGTATATACAACCACAATAATGCCGAGATATTTGCAAATCTCCAGGCCGCAGGTGCCTTCATCACCACACCATGCGGGTCCTCAGTTTCGCTTGTCTCTCAGCTGGGTTTTATAGGTGCTATCAACAATCACCCGTCAAAAGGGTTGAGAAAGGGCTATAATTCGGCTTTTCTTCTTATTTTGTGAATAACTTATGTGATAATTAAGTTAATAAATTAATGGTGATATGTGGCAAATCATGTTAAAAAGGATGAAGGATAAAGCTCTCTGCGTTGATCAATCCCTGAGGGATACGCCATGCATTCTACCTCATTAAACAATTGACCTTTACAACGACTCGCGGTGGTCTACCGATGTATCGAACCAGTGCTGTTATCCTCCCAGACGAATCTGGTACCAATTTGCCGACCTCGGAGGGATGGAAGGCTTGATGGGCCGTGGACGCAAGCACATATTCCACGTGTGTGTGTCAGAACACCTCTGACCACTGCGCCACACGTGCCCTAAATTATGTTAGTTAATTCATTATTTATTAATTATCAACATTCCGGAAGCTCAATAGTTTGAACACATGCTAATTATTTTACTTCCGAGGTTAAATGACGGTCAGTGTGAAAACAACTTATGTGGCTTTATATTTTATTTGTTATACAGTATACTCAACCTATCTATGTCATGAAACATACCACCATCCAGCCAAGATGCTGAGATCCTTTGATAGCTAATTTCGCAACATATGCTAAGTACATTTCCAAATTCCATGATGAATTTTGTATACACTCATTCCATACCACAGGGTTTAATTAATTGCGAATGTTAAGGAAATTACAAGCAACATTTTCAAATTTTATATAGTACCTATTCTTTCTCACGGCAGAATACGATGTGAAGTACAACAACCATAACGAGATATGAGCAAAATTCGGGACCTCTGATGGACTTCGAACCAGCGACTACTTTTGCCTCATGCTCACGTACTATCTACCCGTCAACCCAGGTCTTGGCCTTGCCTTTCTCTCACCTTTGTTGATAGCACCGATAGAGTTTAAAAAAAGAAAAGCGGAAAGAAAAGTTAGCCAAAACCTCGGTTGTGGTGGTTAATGCGTAACCGCTCGGTAAGGGTAATCATGGGTTCGAAGCACATCAGAGATTCCGAGTTTTGCCTATATGTGTCAGCACCTCTGTAGTTGTACAGCCAATAGTTTTAAGAGATTAAAAAGGTATGTCTCTTCAGGTATTATCTGGTTTGTATACCTGAAACTAAATTCTTACTATACTACTTATTGTGGAATGTTCTAGGCGGTCCTTACATGGATCATATAAGCTTGCTTGGTTGGAAGATTATTACCGTTCATTCTTTTCTGCATTGCTCC